TAATTGATTTGTGGTGTTTATTTAATGGTGCCTTTTAACCTGTTGACTCTGACTATTTTATTCCTATTCTGCACTGTATTTATTGAGTGGGGGGAAACTTCTTCTTATAGGTAACATTTTAGCTTCTGGGGTTAGTCTTCTTAAAATATTTTCACTGTTAAATTATACATTGACTCAAATAAAGTTTTATTTGTGTGAGTAACTCCAACGTCTCCGTGTTTGCAGATTTATCTGGGGGGTAGCAGCTCAGTACTGGTGAACTTTGCATGAATTTGACCTCTGAAAACAAGAGGGGTGTTATTCTTGGGGAACTACTAAAGGTTACTACGGTCTGAGTTGCCTAGGCCTGTATATTGGCCCGGTCACACATATTTGAATCAGTTGCTGTTTCTGGAGTGTCCAGATCAGACTGGAAATTGTCCCCGAATAACAGGCCTGCTTTAGCAGCACTTATGTATGTTGTTGTTTTTGGTTTGGTTTACAGCATGTTCCTGAATTTCATTGTGTTTTTTTTGTTAGAGCTTTCCATTGGTCTCTTATAGCCAATGTACTAAATAATATGTGTTCCAGAATAGATTTCACTTACTTTATAACAATAAATGAAGGTATCAAGTACAGATGCTGATCATTTTTACTGATAAAAAAAACAATTACATGAACAACTACAGTACACCCCATGATCCAGTGATTAAGACTACGTTCACACTGCAGGTCTTAATGCTCAGATCGGATTTTTTGCCGAAATCCGATTTTTTTGCACTGTTGTTCACACTGTCATTTAAATGCGACTGCCATCTGTCTCATGTGTGAACGGTATACAGCCCTGAGGTGACCCACATGCGCAGAAGCGGACGTGACGTCAGACGCAGTGTACTGTGTTTGCGAAAATAAAAAAGGATGCGGCTCGTGATAGCATGTGCGTAGCGATATACCAGTTAATGTGTAATCGAAATAAAGAAATAATAAAAAGAAGAATATCAAGAAGGAGAGCACAAATATTGTTTATGGCCTCACCTCCTCCAGCGCAGAATTGTAACGTCTGTCGCATTTCAGTGACATAAAAATCGCATGAAATGCAACCTGGTCTTTCAGACTGAAGACGCATCGCAAAACATCGAACATGTATCCGATCCTGTTGTCACTTCTCGTGCTTCCAACAAAAGAATTGGGTTAATTTCTAAAAAAAAAAAAGGTAATTTCTAACAATCCAGTGATTAAGAGAATCCAGCATGGAGGAAAAAACACACTTAAAATTCAGAATGGCTGATTAAACACAAACCGCAATTTAAGGTTGTTCATGTCTCAGAGGTTTAATAACTTAAGAAATTATAAATAGGGTTTCTGGTATTAGGAACGATAGTTACAGTGTCATTATATGATATTTTCTAAACTAAAAAACTAATAATTTTTTGCATTGGACAATACTGCATACATATGCTAAATGGAGGCTATGTAAAAGGAAAGAAAAAGTATGAGGACCTAAACAATTACCATATAATGAATATTGGTCACATTTGTTGAGCTAAAATATGTATTCGGTTAATGTATCCATGCTACCTGGCCATCAGGTGTTTCTTAGTGTTTCTCTCAGGCCTCAAAAGGATGATGAAACATTTTGGAGCAAAAATACAGATGAGTAAACCATAGCTAGAGGCCAGGATTGCAAAAATCTCTACGGCAACAGTGTACTTCCCAGGAGAGCTAACATAAGCAGGGACAAAGGCCACCCAAACTGCACAGAAAATCAGCATGCTGAAAGTGATCAGTTTGGCCTCATTGAAGTTGTCAGGGAGTTTTCGTGCAAGAAAGGCTAGTATGAGGCAGGTGCAGGCCAACAGACCAATGTACCCCAGAACCAGTGAGAAGCCCACCACGGAGGTCATGGCACATTCCAAAGTGACCTTTGACCCTTGGAAACCCAGATCACGTTGAGGCACAGGGGGACTAAGAGACAGCCATGTGACACAGATGATTATCTGAGTTAAAATAAAATATAGTTGATTAATGTAAAACATAGTAAAATTGATGTAAATATTTAGAGAACAAACATACATATGCAGTACCTGTATACAAGTAAGAAAACAGACACTTCCTCTCTGCTGGCCTGGACCAAACCATCTAATCAAGGCTTCAGCACCAGGCCGAGCTGAGCGGAATGCTGCCAGAACAACTATGGTTTTAACTTGGAGGCAGGAAACACAAAGACCAAAGCTCATCCCAAATGTTGCCTGCTGAAGCCGACAAGTCCAGACTGACGGACGACCAATGAACACCAGTGAGCACAGGAAGCAGAGCTTCAGTGACAAAAGAAGCAGGAAGCTCAGTTCTGAGTTGTTGGCTCGCACCTAAAATGAGAAGTCATTGTCATAAAAAAAAA